AGTGTCCCGAGGCATGCGAAGGAGACTCTGCAGCATGCTCCAATTATTGTCTTTATTAATAAGTCCTCAGCGCCAGCGATTCCCCAATAAAAGGGAACAATTTGAGGTGCAAGACAAATCAACCTCTGCCACTTGAAAGCTACCTAGCAAATGGCCAAAAATCCTCACCGGTTCTAATCTAAAAGGCGTTGAGAGGTGACACACAGCAGGAAGTGCCCAATGCTTGCAACCAAGCTCTGAAAGCCTCTAGAAAAAGCCCCGCTGTTACTTGATGAGAATTAGGGCAAGAGCTGTCAATCAGTGTGGAACGGCCAGCGTTAGCCATACTAGGCTCCGAAAACCAATAGTCCTAGAAAAGACTTGCCGCTCCCAATGTAAATGGCAGCGAGAGCTGTCAAAACAGTGAGGAGTGGCCGGAGCATGCAGACAAGGCTCTGAAGCCCGTTTCAGGCACCCAAAGTGCAAAACACTCAGCTCTACCAGCTCCTTTTCTGGACTCCTAGAAGCACTTTCTAAAAACCTTTCCAGGAAGAAAAAACGGGAAGTTTGAGATTAAATCACACTTATCTGAGCCTGGAGCTTAAGATACACAGTCCTGTGAGCTGAGACTGAATTGAAAGTCTGAGGACCATTACCAGGGAGACGTGTCTTCAGACTTTCAATTCAGTCAACGAGCTAGCAGTCTAAAATAACCCATCCTGGACTCTCCCATTGACACCATGGAGAATGCACCCCTGCTATTCACCTGAAAAGCCCTTGGGCTCCATTGCGAAGGTCCAGGCCTTCAACAAGGGAAACTTAATTTACACAAGAAACTACACAGGCCACCCTCTATGGTTGTTAGAAGATGGTCAAATGTGGTGACACCACATCTACCAATTAAGGGGGCATTGGGACACAGGGTTTCTACAACGAGGCCTGGTCTACTACACCACCCCTTAAGTCACCAACCTCTGTTTTATGTATTCCCTGTAAAGGGACAAATGACTGAGACGAGTGATCACTGAAACACGAACTGCTTTAATCAACACAACTATGAGAACAGAACGGAGCCTGCCAGTTTGACAGCTATTTATACAGGTGGCTGTCAAACCGGCAACCAATTAGAACATGACCTTTTCCTGCCATAACCCTCCTTTAATTTCAACCAATGGCAATCATCCTCAACCCTGATTGACCCTGAAGATACACCACAACTCCCCGCCCCAGACTGCACATGCCTAGTCTGAGAGATAGGCCGGTCGTCGCCTGCTTCGTTGAGAACGTCAAAGGGGTTGGCCTGGTGTCTGCGAAGTAAGTGTTGGATTTGCTTCCTGTCCTTCGTGATGACGGACCACAGGACTTTCTGGAAACTCTACCCCTGCCTGGGAATGCTGTTTGCCAGGTGAGTTGGCCATCGAGATGTTGTCGGGCAGAAATGGCAGGCATGTGGGGTTTGATGGGGCATTCGGCCGGCAGGTGGTGCTAGATGTCTCCAGGAGTTGTCTGTGTTCTGTGTCGGTTGGGGCCTCTGGGGTGTGCGAATCATCACTGTCTCTTGGATCGGAGGCCCAGGGCCGATCAGTGCGTGCCGGCTATTTAGTTGATCTATATGTCGTCTCCACAACCAACCATCGGTGAGTAGGACCTGTAAGAGCAGGGTCCTGTTACTTAATTATCTCTCCGGGCACCCATTTTTGAGTGCCTGAAAAATTCTGTGCGAAAACCCAGTCCCCTTTAGCAAACCCTCAATTGCACAATCCCCTAATCGGGCTATGGGTATTGGTTGCATAATGAGGGTGTATTCTGTCTGGAGTCGTTTGGGCCATCTGCCCATCAGAAGCTCCGCTGGACTCTTATTATTTAATGGACAGGGGGTTGAGTGTTGTAACAATAAATAGTGTGATATTTTGTCCTGTAACTGCCCATTCCCCATTCTTCCCAGTGCCTCTTTTGCAGAGCGGACTGCTTGTTCCACTCTGCCATTACTGACAGGATGGAATGGGGAAGTGAGGGCTTCACGCAACCCAAGGGAGGCCAAGAATTTTGGAAACTCTCAGCTGTCCATTGCGGACCATTGTCTGAGACCACTACGTCAGGTACCCCATGACAGGTGAATAAACACCTAAACACCCTGATTTTCACCTCCGCTGTGGTGGAGCCCATGGGTACGATCTCGACCCTTTTGGAAAACGCATCCACCACTACCAAGATCATTGTTCCCTGAATTGGGCCAGCAAAATCCACGTGAAATTGGGATCATAGAGCTGGGGGCGTTTCCCATTCCCTGGCCTCTGCCATCGGAGGCACCGGCTGAGACAACTGGCAAATGTTGCATTGCTTTACCCATGCTTGGATTGCGTTTGAGTTTGAGTTTGAGTTTATTTGGATTTATAGGCCGCCCTTTTCCCTGAGGGGACTCAGGGCGGCTTAAAATTATTAGGGGGGGGGGGGTGAAATTCAAAACAAACAATATGTGCACAAAATAAATAAAGTAGTAAAAACACAACTTGCATTCAACATTCACACTC